TACGGTATGGAATATCCCTCTGGCTAGTTTGGGTCAGCTGTCCTGGCTGTGCTCCCTCCCAGCTCCTTGTGCACCTCCTCACTGGCAGAGCACGGGAAACTGAAAAGCCCTTGACGTAGAGTAAGCACGACTTAGCGACAACTAAAACATCCGTGTGTTATCAACATTATTCTCATACTAAACCCAAAACCACAGCACTGTATCAGCTACTAGGAAGAAAATTAATTCTATCCCAGCAGAAACCAGGACACTCAGAATATGTAAAGTTAAAAGGTGATCCTATATAGGACCAGTTTCATGGATTATGAAAGTAAACAAGTGGTTTTTAAGTATTGCAATCCTGCATTTATCCTTGATAGAGCAAGCTGAAAAACATCCTTTACTCTTAAAAAGTCCCATGAACAACTCTCCACAGACTCAGGGAGACAGCACAGCATCAACTTACACTGTTAGTTTAATCATCTCTGAGGCTTTTGCCCCAGTAGCAAGCACCTCTGGTGGTCAGAAGAAGCAAGACCATTAGTAACTGCTTTCCAAGTTTTCACAAAACCAAAATAAAGCCAGTCCTCCAGAGTCATGAAAAAACGAAACAAACTGATGCAGAAAGGCAGAGTTTCCAGAGCTCTTGCCAACTGCTACAGATCCAGAAGGGTAAGTTTGGGGAGCTCTTTTTTAAAGGTGATGGACGAGAAATCTGTGTGTGAGGTCTTTTTAAATGAACTGCAATTTCCCATGAGCACTAATAAACAGCTAGGTAACATCTCTCAGAAGCAAACCTTTCAGAACTGCAGCACACAGCATGGAAATAAAACAAAATGACGGCCTTTCATCTAGTCCTGCAATTCAACAAGGCCACCACTGGGCGGGAAACCACCACTGTGACAGCTAAGAGCTCTGACCAATAATTAGCATCCATTTGGGAGCTTTTATTGGGGCAATCTTACTGACTAGGACAGGACTTTACCAGGTTCACATTCAGAGTACCCAAGATGGAAAAAAATGAGTCAGACAGTGGCCGTTGTAGCTTTTTAAAACCCACGACCAACAAATCAAACAACCAATACTTTCAAACTTTCCCCCCACGAAGAGAGAGAACAGTTTTTGTCTTTGTAAAACAATTCTAAACTTGCATTAAATCGTGCAGAATATTCTCTCTTCCTAAGCTTGCAACCAGGAGACTGCCTGCCACAGCAGTCTCCTGACAGTTCTGGATGGCACAAACAAGATGTGGTCTCTTCTGTAATAGGCAACCCTTAAGACTGCTCCAGGATCTCATGGGAATGGGGGAATGAAGGCAGACGTACTGATCCTTAAGTTTTACACTGTGAAAAAACCTCACATAGCCTGGCACTCAGCAACAATAAAAACCATCACTGCCACAACATACACTATTTCTATCTGCCCAGCGATGCAAGTTCAGCACTAAATTCCCTGCAGGGAAGTCATCACTGCACTGTGAGCTGCTAGCCAAAGGTTAAGGAGTCCTGAGTGTGTAAAGAGACACTACAGCATGAGGCCAGAGAGTACACAGCTTTCACTACATTTACCAGCTTAAGCTCTCGATTCAGAAGAGCACTCAAGCCCGTTCTTCTTCCAAGGATTACCTGCAATTTCTGTTGCCAAAACCTGAAACCTCCTGTTCCGCACTCAAGAGCAGTCAGTTCACACACCAGCAGCTGTTACATCTGGCATTAAGTAGCCACTCTTCTTAGTTAATTTACTGGAAATAATTTTTAAAAAAGCTAATCTTGCTGGCAAGAGCATGCACTTGCGTATCCTGGGAAAGGGTAAAGCCAGCAATTTTAACAATCATCATCACAGGTAGTCAAATGCAACAATCACTTGTCTCCTACAAAACTGCACCTCAGTATCAATTAATTATTTCATGTTTCTTTTCCAGATCTTGAATCACAGAAATATACAGCCCTTCAGATTTAAAAAAAACTACATAAACCCTCTTCTTTCCCATGTGCTCTGCAAGACACTCTGCTTGCACAGTGTCCAAATATGCATCTAAAAGGTCTGCAAGAATGGCACCAAGTCATCACCCACTGCGCTGAAGGTGCTGCACACTGTGAACTGATGGAGATAAAGATTCAAGGGATGAAAACCACACAGGGCAACAGAAGTCAAAGCATAACCATTAAATACAGTGGCAATAAGAAAACGACACATCTTTTAAAGTGCTGCAGCTTTGTGAAGTCAGAGTAAGTACATTTTAAGGGAAGAACAAACATAACTCTTATATTAAGTGCACAAGTAAATCTAGGAACAGTTTTATACACTACAACAGGCACTGCTATATGCAAACTTATTGCCTGATTTTACTACCTATGATGTTTTTAATCCAGTGAACTGAAAATGCAAACCAGTGCCTAACAGTAACTTATTTGCCACAACCAATATCCTGTATTATTCCATTTTGAAAAAAACCCCCATGAGCAACGCCTGTAATGATAGACAGAACACTGCAAGATAGGAGGAATTACACATCATTACACCCATAACCAGTCAGGGAATATTTTAATCGTTACAACTTGCTTTGGCAGGGGGGTTGGACTACATGATCTCCAGAGGTCCCTTCCAACCTCAACTATTCTGTGATTCTGTGATTCTGTGATTCTGTGACTTTAATAATGCATAGTTGTAACTGGCTGTAACTGTCTCTTGCAACCAAGAGACAATGTAGAGGACATTTACTCACAAACATAGGCGAAATTCACAAACACAAGGGAACGCAGACAAAAACAGTTTTTACAAGGAGTTACTGATTAATTACACAAATGTCATTTCTTTTTCTCATCAATTTCAGCGATTATGAGAAGAAGAAAAAGTACTGAAAAACATTATTGACTGATGTGCATGCCAGAAAGGAGGATGGTCTTTCTCCACATACTTTTAATCACAGTCTCACCTGAGATACAGAGATCTGTTGTTATCCTTATAATCAGCACACAGGTGCTACCACAGCACCAAGCAAGGGTGGGAAAGGTACAAAGAAGTTCTGAACAGTGTGTGTATTGCTCACGTAGCACTGCCCTCCCTCCTGCTAAAGGCTTTGAATAAGATACAGTTCCACTGCCTCAAAATTTCGCTGAACTCAACATTGCAGTTATTGGCAAATAAGTATACTGAATAATAATGACAGGGCCTCCAAAAGCTGCTTTGGTGTTCTCTCTTGGTAAAACAGAGGGGGAAGGAAAAAAAAAAAAAGAAAACGAAACAACCCCCCCCTAATTCTGTGTCTATGAGTTCCTGGCTAACTTAATTCCTCCCTGTGTTAGCTCTGCCTCAAGCTATATTGTTTGTGGATATCTGAAGCATTTCAAAATTATCAGCCACAGTGTAAGTTGGAAGTTATGCAATACCACAGAGTTTGCCCTTCACCCCTAGTGTCCCCAGGATTACCTGCTATTAAATTTCCCTGGTTCTTCTTCTCTAGCATGATGAAAGTCCAAGCTCAATTCTGCATCAATGCCAAGACCACAGTAATTGTTCATCTGTACAATCTGACAAAAAAAAAATTGTATTATTTCCTCCTTACTTTTATAAATGAAGAGGTTCCAAAATTTTTCAACAAAAGCAAGCTTTGCAGATGATCCTTCCAAGTCACTTGCAACTTGACAGATTCTGGAAAACACTTTCCAGAAACACTGCACTAAAAATAAAGCTGTACCGTCAATTATTGACATGTGTAATCATGATTTCCAAAGTATCAGAAACTTCAAAATTTAACCTCACTTGCAAGTAACAAGCATAATAAGACAGAAATAAAAACAAATGCAGAAATAAAATCAACCCAACTTCTCAAAGTAGTTCTATGCAGTAACTACACAAGATGCTGAACACTAATGCCACAATGATTTTTGGTATCAACCATGGATTTATCAGGTCATCATTGGGAAGACACTCTTCCTTACTTTGGAAGGTGACCAGCATACACCAGATGAGTGAAGAACCTGACTTCAACTATTCAGCTGTATTTTAAATGGCTCCCTATATGCCAATCTCAAGTTTCTACAGATTTCAACCATTTCTGCAATTAATTCTTCCTTTGCATACCAGTTCATTCCTTAGCTTTTCTATCCCTTGAAGCTCCTACCCTTCACCTTTAAAAAGGAGATTAGGCACTCAGGGCAAATCAACCCCTGTCTCCACCAAGTGAAAAATAGCTGGAACCTAAGAAACTTAAATCCTCCAACTGACACATAATGCCTAGGATTTTCCAGTGACTGGACTAAAATCTTAGACAATTGCTACCATTATTACAATTTCCTGCTTTCTTTTTGCCACTGCCTTGTCCAATTTCTTTGTTTTGTCTGAAGATAAACAGAACCAGGATACACACAAAGCTCTGAAGTCACCATCTACAACCAACATTTCTATTTTCCTGAACAGAAACAAGTAATATGAACCAAGCAACAGGGACTTTTTCACTCCAAAAAAAAAAAAAAAGATGCCAAAATAGAACAGATGCCACATATACAGATATGCAATGGCAGTAAGATGACAGAAGGATTTACTTCCTGTATATGTTAGCAAATCCTTGTCATTTTTTAAACTGTTATAGGATAGACGTGAGTACCTTTTTTTGGTGTGGGGGGATGTTCTTTGGTCGACACTCCAATTTCACTAGCATTCTGGAAAGTGTTTGGCATTCCTTCAAAGAGCTTTTCTTATTTGAGAAATAAATTTCTTTCCAACTGAAGCAAATAGGTATGGCATTGTCACTTGAATCTTTTCATTAATCCTCTATCAGATACTTTTTGCCAAACAGCTATGAAGTATGTTCTGCAGCCAACCAGTCCGACCAAAACTGAAGCACTAGATCCAGACGTATGCTGTATTCACTAAGGAATAACTCAGTAAGGCTCAAGCTCAAAGACAGGTGACCAATAAAAGACTGAACTGCATTAATATCTATCTTCTTTTGTGATTTTCGCTAGAACAACAGGTCCTAAGAATCAAATGCAAATAGTGCCCAGCTCACCTTTGGAGGCTCAGGTTCTGCAACACCATTCTCTGCACCTTCAGCTGGCTCATCTGCATCCAAAAGGATAGTCCAGCGATCCATAAGAACATCATCTGCCTCATCCACGGAAACCAAAATCGAGTAGGGGTCCTCCCCACTGTAGCCAGCTCCCCAGCGCAAGACCCTCCCTAAGTCATTACCTGGGCAACAATGAAAAACCCCAAAATATGACTGCATTTTGTAAGTTAGCTGAAAGCATCAAAAAGTGCATCAGCCCTGTTTTACAAATCTGAACGCATTATGGTGCTCCAAACAAGTCAGGGAAGTAGTTAGACTGGACTGAAAAACTAACAAGCAGAAAAAATATCTAAGTGTTGTTCTGCTTGCACGTGTGCTAAGTATCACATACAGATACGCTGTCTCATATGAAAAGTTTTCACAAAAAGTAATGAAAAAACCCGTTATGGTGTTGAGAAGTCATGCAGCAGCTGAGTTCACTGGTTTACAGCAAAGGCTGATGCACTTGTGGTTGTCAGGGGAAGGGTATTTTGCCCTCTTCAACTCCCGCCCACTCACACACACCCACACCAACATCCCTGATGTTTGTTTTTCCTTTTAAAAGCATAACTGACGTTTCCTTGAAAAGGTGATATTGCATTTGCTCTCCATCACTGGCCAGAACTGAGTCATGGCATCTGTACTGCAAAACTTAGTTGTTTATCAGACAGATAAATAAAGATAAGCCTTCTGGAGGACTTCTGCCCTCAGAAGAAGAACAGCACTCACTGTGATTCTCACCTGTTCCTAAAGGTAAGATGGCAACTGAGGGCTCCGAGCACACCAGCTTGTGCCTGATCTCCTCCAGTGCACCAAGGACCCATCCGACAGTGCCATCGCCCCCGCACACCAGCACTCGGAAGGAGGGGACTTTAGAGAATGTGTGAAACCTTCATTGAGAAACAAAGGAAAGGGGAAAAGAAATGTTACAACATAGTACAGGAAAAGCAAAGCCTCTTAATATGCTATTTAAGATACATTATTATTGGATCCCCCACCCTCTACCATCACTTTCAGGATCAACTTCAACAAGGTGAACGGAAAAATAGGAACTTTTAGATAAAGCTGTTTAAAAAGAGTAAAAACCACATTCTTCTGAGATTCTTCACAGCTAAATTGTTAAACGCTTCCTTTTTCACCAAAGACAGAGAGATCTAACTATTTCTAATTTCAATGTGAACATGTATAACTCTCTAAATCCTAGTGGAGATGTGGACTAGTGGTGGATTTTTGTTTTTACTTATTCATAGGACTCATAGTACATTTTCTTCTTCATAGTACTATTTTCCTGGTCACTCTTACCTTTTGTGACTTTTCATCCTACATGCTGAGATATCCTACAAAGGAATTTTTATTTCCCATTGCACAAAAAGCAATGAAAAAGTGGAAGCATTTTGCCATAAAGCTACAGAAGGATTTCACGGGCAAAGCAAAATGAACAAATTACTGAAGTTGCAGCTTGAACTGCATTAGAAAGGCAACAGAATTATACAGTTGTGACAAACAACTTAGTTTGTGCAGCTTGTTTTTCTTGCCTCCTGCATAAGCTGTGTTTCTCCCATGAAAACTTTAGCTTTGAAGAGCTTGTCATGACAGTTATTTGTTAAAGCAGTGCTGACGGAAGGAGGCTACTCTGAGTAGGCTACAACTACCATTTTCAGTTTTATGAAGCTGGTAACAAAAGTGGTGTTGATTAAATCAAGTAATCAGTTCCTGCCTCCCTACAAGCACATTATGTTCTGTTCTTTGTATTTAGAAATGTTGCAGCTGTGATCAGGCAGGCCTTGTTAATTCTCTGACTGTGGCGAAGTTTCAAGAGTCAAGACAGAAAATTTTATTATACTTTGTTAGTTCCCATGAAACATCAGAAGAAATAAAGCAAAAATGAGCCCTCATCAGACAATGTGACATTTCTCTTTCCATCCTCATTTAATTACAAAATAATGTTGTTTTCAATAATTATTAAATCAATGTTATTGTAAAGTGCATGTGACTTTCCCAGGACTGGACTCTATGAGACTCGACACAAGCATATACATCAGGAACTACTCTATTCTCTTTTCTCTAGAGAACTTCAAAGTTTAAATCTGTTTTCACAGTGAGAACCAGTTAGAAGGAGTTACCCACTGCTCTGGTCTTCAGGCACAGAACAAAAGTAATTTAGATCTTTCTAACAAGTGAATCTGATCCATCCTTTCAAAAAATAACACAATATAAATAGAAAAAAATTAAAAATATGATGACTTACCCAGGCAGTGGGCCACCATTGGTAAGTTCAAAGACCTGATGTGGGTTTAGCAGCTTTCTAAAACTGTACAGCAGATCCCGACCTTTTAGACCACCACTTTTTGGATTCACAAATACAAGAAGCGGGCAGCAGTTCTGTGGTATCTTGGAAGCCTGAAAGAAGACAAGAAAAATGATTAGCCCAAACCATGACTAGGCAGGAAAATTACTACTGCATCTGAGATGTATTTCCTGATGCTTCCTTGATGCTTAGTAAAAAAATCCAGATTTGATAAATGAAAAGATTCAATGTCCAGACAATGGACAGGTTAGCTGCTGATCTTGTTTTACTGGGAACTGAAGTTTCCTTAACCCACTCCAACTACACAGTTGACCCTAATGTTAAAAACAAAGGCACTCTAAGTAGTCCTTCCTACATCATTTTCAGTAATCAGTCTATGCCAAAAAATAGTCTGAGGGATAAGGTACCTTCCAGAGTTATGCACAATTCAAATACTCTCCTTGCAAAGACAGAACTTCTCCCCAAAAGAACTGAAACATTTGTCTTAAGTTTTGTGGTCATCTTAGAATACATGTTAATTTACAAGGACAAAACATTTCAAAAGGAGGGTGTTCAGGGCAGACACTGGCATGCCCCTCCCCATGAAATAAGAAGCTGAAAGCTTCTTTTAAAAATATGTATTTAAAATTTGTAATCAGGAGGATTTGGTACCAGTATCTGATGATCCTCATACCTCTACTGAAGCTGCTGCTCAAAGGGCTCACACACAGCTGTGCCGCAAGGAAGCCTGGTACCCAACCAGAAACTAGTCCAAAGGAAAACACTCTGTATGGCAGAGGAGGGATGTCCTGGAGTACCTCACAGACTGCGGAGGAAGGTTCTAAGGTACCCCATGGACTGTGCAGGAACGGCAACTGCAGCCTCGCCAGAGGTCAAAACTTCCAGCCACCAGAAGCACTCCCTCAATACTTGTTTTCAGCCAGCCAGCCCATAAATCATTCCATAAAATGATTTGTAAATGGTTCTAGAAAGATCAGAAAACGTCAGCACACCTTTCATCTGTCCTGACGCAGGGCTGTGGGGCAGGTACATGCCAGAAAAGTCCGTTGGGCATTTCAACAAGCACGCTTCAAAATAGAAACATTGGCCACATTCCTTAAGTCGTGGTAATTTGTATTTACAAATTGGACAGCATTCAGGGAACAGCAACTTGTCACGCAGCTGACAGGATGGATTCAGGGAACAGAACAGTGCTAAATATAAGTCAATTTAGAAAAGAATGATCCAGAGGGTGGTGAGGCAGCAGCACGACTGCAGTGTGCAAACATGCGGAGAGATACCAACAGCTACAGAGGGGAGGAGACAGCACCCAGAGAGCCTGTCGGCTGCTGTCTACGAAGCAACCACCAGAGAGTGTGAACTAAGGCGAAGAATGGAGAAATCACGACAAATTAATGAGTAATTTTGTGGGGAAGCAAACTGGAGTCTGATTTTGACATACCCCAGACCACTGTCTACCTGTGAGCTCATCTGGATGCTTAAAAACAATCAATCATTTGGGGCTTCCCAGTATTTGAGAGATTTTCTCAAATTTTGCTTTCCTAGAAGAGCTGGGTGCTAATCCTCTGCAAGTCACACCCTGCCAGATGTGTCAAGATACCTACAAACACATAAAAATCCTTCTCCTCCCTGTCACTGCCTGCATGAGAAATGCCCTCTGCCATCCAGCCTGACTTGCAGAAAATGCACTCTGAACAGGAACACTAAGCAGGTAAGACGGTTGGTGGAGCAGGTACACACTTCTCCTCTTGCCCCTTCCTTCCTCATCCTTTACATTCTATCAGAGGCATCCAGTTTGAAAATATATATGTTTTCTCCCCAAAAAATTTGCCAAACAAAGGCTATTTTGGCTGACAAAAAGCCACAAGAGCCTCAAAATTTTTGTTTTACTGGAAAGGTTTCACTGCTGGCAAAATAACTAGGTTGGCAAGACTGAGGCTGCAAAGCTGCCCACACAGCTTTCTCCTTCATGTTATACTGTGACAACTGCTTGGTCAAAACACCTCTCACCTTCACATTCAGGCTTTATTGGAAAAGGGGAAGCATTATTCAAAGCTTGCCCAATACACAACAGGGTAATATATGTATTTCTGTTAAGCACGTGGAAACGATATTTGCAGTCAGCAAAGCAAATCTAAGGAAAACAACACATGCCACTGTCACTAAAAGGAAGGACTTCTTGAGTTGTAAGGTCAACAGCTGAAGGACCCACACAACCCAACAAGAAGATTGGATTTCCTCCTCTTGAGCCATCACAAGCATTAATAAAAATAGCAAGCAGAGCTCTGGCTTTTCCACAAAAAAGCCCTTCTCATTACTCCACCAGTTCCTGCATGATCATCTGTCATATCCCATTATGAATGGTCCTTTGAAAATCCTGTAAGCAACAAAAGGCAGAGCAGCTCTGAAAGGAAACGCCACGTCCCATAAGGTAACAGGGCAAACTGTTCCCTGCCTGCACTCCTCGTTCCAGCTTCTACTCTGCCCTGCCTTCCCACCTGAGCACCTCCCATTGCTTCCTCTTCAAAGCTTCTTTACTACCTAAATTTCAGCTCCAGTCATCTCAACTTTCTGAACAATACAGGCTATCTGAAACCTCAGGCCTGGTCCGATACCCAGAAACTTGTGGGGTTTAAAAAAAAGGGGGTTAAGGGGATAATAGAAAGAAAAAATATTCAGTTCTGCAGCTCAAAGTAAACAAAAACTTTTTTAAAAAAGAATGAGAGAAAAGAAACCAGCCCAACATTCAAGTCAAAGAAATATCTTACTTGAATGTGGACAAGAACATTTGATTATCTTTTCTTCTTCAGGAAATCAGTTTCTAAAAATACTGGGTTTGGACATTTAGAAGTGACATGTTGAACACATGTTTTCTATTACTTGCTTTTACAGGCGAGTTCTAAAGCACTGAGTTTAAAACCAAGTAACTAAAATAATTCACAAGGAACTTCAGGGAATCACAACAATTCTTGAGATGTGGTAAGCTCCAAGGCATTCAAAAGCACAGCTGTGTTTTGGAAAGTTGTCTGAGATCTTACCCAAGTAAATATAGACTGTTGCAAATACACATTTACAGTCTGTACAAAACTGCCACCTAAATTTCCTAATTGTCAAGTGTCAATATTGTACCAAAAAAAGCGAAACATTTACCCTCAATGCTACTAAGACTCACAAGCAGCTGCGCACAATGCCTGGAGCTAACACAGTATCTGTATGTATTGTAAACTGAGCAGTCTGACCACTCAAAAGCATCTTTGTTCAAATATCTTCTAATGTAAATCCCTAACTATACCTATTTAGGACTAACGCACCTATGTAGAATAAACAGAAGTATTCTAGAAAGTGCTTAGCCTTACAGCTAATTTGCTTCCATTATGACTCTTCATTAAACTTAAAGGAGTAAGAAACACTGCTAAATCCCTAGATAAAGGCCAGCTTCTAAGCAAATAATTATTTTTCAGTAGGGGTTAAAAACTCTATGACAGTTTGTACAGCACAGCAGGGCTGCTGCGTTGCTTTCTGAAAACTACACACTTCCTTTCAATTACTGATGGCCACAAGGCTACCATTCTTATGCTGCAGAATTTTTTTAAATCCCTTAATAAAGCCCCAGTGGGGACATAGGAGTGAGTTTCTTACTGGGCAGAAGGGGATGTGTGACTCACAGCCTGAGGACTCCCTTCCCCCGTTAGCCCTGGCTTCAGTGCTCTGCTTAAGGAGTGAAATCTGCAGAGGGGTTTTGTGTTGGCTGGCGTTCAGGAAGGAATTTATTGCTCATTTCTTAGAGACAGCTAAAGGAGGCCACGCGATTTAGACACTGACAGTCACCGTGAATTGCTTAATTTGTCAGGATTAGCACAACACGGCTTCAGGCAGGGGCAAAATATTTATTATCCATGCTAATCCCCTTTCTGTTGACAAAGCAGAACAAGGCGTTCAGTGCCACAGGCCTGTCAGCACAACAACCACGGCGCATCTTCCAGGGTAGTGGGCTGCCTCCAGGAACTGCAGATATTTTTAAGTGACAAGTAAAATTCAACGTTTGCAAGTGGGCTGTCTGCAGCATCTTCCACGTGCAAGGACTCACGACGCCACAAGCACAAACTTCCTCCACCCTGGCCAGAAAGGAGTCATTGCATCTGATGAGGAATGACGTGCAAGGTGTCTTAACAGAACCGGAGCAGCAGCTAGATCAACACAGCAAGAGCTCGAGCATTTTCTTTACTTTTGGGGGAAATGCGGCAGTGGAAGAAGGGTGGAAAGTAACCTCTCATGGTGCTTTGGCCAAAGGGGTCACTAAATTATCATGCTTTTCAGTTGGACACATTTGTGTGAGGAATTAGTGGAACGAATAAAATGAAAAGTTTTACCCATTTGGGAAATTCTCACATCTTTTTCTACTACTCTTAAGGAACCTAAATACAGTATGTCTGAAGGCACTCCACTGGTAAGTGGCATTAGTGATAAAGCCACAAAAACTTGCCACCTTCGTGCTGATACTGGCCTCATTACAACTCTCTGCTGATTTCCTTGTTTGCCAGTACTGCAAAAGGAGTTCTGGAAAATTAGCTTTCAATTCAAAGATTCAGTGTTGCAATGCCTTTCACCTTCACATGCTACCAAAGAGTGAAACCAAATTGCGCCTGCAGGTCCTTACACACAGCAGCTAAACAGCTCTGTAACAGACTGTATTTTTTTCAAACTACAACAAAGACAGTATTTTCATTTATTTGAATATTGTGAAATGAAAAAATTCTTAAAGGCCTGAGACCATGAAACAGCAGAACAGATCAACACATTTGATCACACTAAATGCTTGACTTTCTAATAAGCAGTTAGTGCAAACTGATTCGGCATTCAAACCTTTCAGTAATGATCATAAGATGAACTGCTTCTGGCAGACATGACCATGCCAGACTAGAAGTGGACCTCCTCCTTAGAAGGTACATCAGAGACAGCAAGCAAATCTCACCTCGGGAAAACAAAGGACTAGCCACCTGTTAACCACCAATTTACTCTGTGCTTTTATCAACTTTTAAGAAGGGTTGTTTTGTTTTGTTTGTTTGTTTATTTAAGTTGCAATTTGGAAAAATAATTCATTAACCAAAAACACTGTAGGCATTGTTTTATCACCCATTCTTCTTCTGAGACTACACATTAGCCCTTCATTCCCAATTTCTTTGTATTTCACCCACAAGAGGAATCTCAAACATAGCATAAATTTAGTATTGTGCTCAGTTATTGTGGAAGTATTTCCTGGTGCTGTATTTAAATGGTCACATATAAAACGTATAAACAAAGGCTAATAATATCATAGGATAAAAGGATAATCTAGGTTGGAAAGTACCTCAGGAGGTCATCTAGTCCAATTGCTACCCAAAGTAGGGTCAACAATCACTCATTAGTTTACCCTGAGGAATCAGTGAACAGTGTAAGCCAAAGCACATAAGAACAACACTTGAAATATTATTTAGATTAACTCTTGGCTTGTTTCAGTGAGATGACCAAATATAAACAATATGTGTTGAAATGGAAACAAAATGTATGTGCACATGTACTGCCCCTCTCTCCTTCTTACATATTAGAAATTCATCGCTAGCAGTACCCTGAACTGGAGTATCTAAAAAACACCTTGCATCAGGTAACAGATAGCTTCTCACAGTACTTGGAGAAACTCACTGTATGGTTCCTTTAAATAAAATGTATTTTCATCTGCTTCCAGCAGAAAAAGTCTCAAGGTATTTTTTTTCTTTTAAAGACATATTTTAAATTCAAACCCATCTCTTACCATAACTTCAGGAATCACCACAGCATTCAGAGGCTTGTCATTGACAGTTGTATCTTTAACTAGCATATATATTCTTTCAGCTTCAGAAAAGCATGAAATTTCAAGTACAACAGCACCTGTAAAGAAGCATCAGAACAATTTTTTATATTTTCTGTTATTATTAGGAAATCAGTATCATATCATAGCAACAGTTTACTCCGTTTACTCAGGACATTATTCAGCAAAAGTTACTCTGCAACACTTGTGGTTGTTGGTTATCAGTGAATTGGGCTGTTTTGTTCTTTAAGCCTTCCTTCAAATGTGCAAACACATCTCAGATTTTTGCTAGAGCAAAGCAGTTTGAGGACAAGAACTGCAGCACAGAACTGATCCATATTTAAAGACTTCCTTTGGGCCTCAGAAGTATGGCCTAGTTCCATACTCTTTATCATAACTAACAGGCTATTCTGATCATGTAAAAGTGACAAAGGTATCAGGTTTCATTTTGTATCTCATTCTTTAAAATCCAGTAGTTCTATTCATTGACAATATCTCAGTAAGAATAATTACAAGCAAAGATTTGGTTTGAGAATCAGTTTAAGATCTTTATGTCAGCTTAGGTCCTGTATGGGGAAGCTGAGGAAGAAGGGAAGACACAAGAAGAAAATAAAATACTGATAGCTTAGTTTAAAGTAAGATACTTAGTGAGGAGGAAAACAAGACAGGACAAGATCAAAGTGCATAACAGATACCATATGAGGTGTAAGCCAGTAACACAACCTGGCTGCAATCAAAAGTGAGAGTCAGAAAATTATCAGAAACATAAAAATACTCAGAAAGTGAAAAAACACAAAGAACAATAAAAATTATCTACAAGCAGAAACATCTAAAAAAGACATGCAGGTAAACATGGTTAAATGAAGCTGTGACATGAGAAGAGTTAATCACAAAAGCAACTATTCTCCACTGACAAATATGAAAAGGAGAAGGCACATCTGAAAGCTTTATGGTTTTACTTATGAAAAGTCAGTATTAACTAGCCATGTGGAGACAGCAAATACGCAAAGGAATCACATATCAGTCTTCAAAACCACACTACAGAAAGATTCACTTAGCATTGATGTGAAAGTTAAGCCTGCCAAAGGACATGAAACATCTCAGATAAACGTACAAAAGATAAATTCCACACTTTTAAGTTTTACCAAATGCAGATCTCCACCTGACCACTACACTAAAGCTGCACAGAGCCACTGCTGCTCTGGCACTTAGAAGACTCACGGTTTCTCCGACCTTGCTGAAACAAAACTCGCACAGGAAAAGCAAAGCAACAGCTCAAAGGATGAATGCAGAGATAAGTGTACTGCTTTTCTTCAGACTTCCAGCCACTGAACCCCCACTTAACACTGCGCTAGTAAACAGTGACTGTCAAACAATCCCAACAAGTTCAAAAACAGTACCAAATTTTAGTATTTTAGAAGTCAAAATATAGACAGAGCACTTGAAGGATTTTTAACAGTTAAGTGGTGTTACACTATTCCGTTGAAGTGTAACTTCAAAACTCATGTTTTATAATGAAATATTACCAGTGTAACATTAATCCACTGCTCTTCATAAATACAGTATCTTACATTTTACCTGAAGGGCTTTTTGCTTATGCAGTAAGACTAACATACTCTGAGCTTAGAGCCTCTAGCATTAGGCTGCAGTTTTGAAAATAGACATTGTGGCAAGATTAAAAATCTTAATGCTTACCTTGTGCTTGATAAACATGACTCACAGATACTACATTTGCTGCAAAGGGTAAAAAGATAAACACATAAAACCTTGGGTACATTTAGAGTAAATATTTAAAATATTTTTAAAGTTACATAAATATAATATAAATAAATATTAAAAGTTATACAAATATAGGGAGAATCTCCAGCTAACACTTTCCTTCTCCTAAGTTTACTTTGTAAGTTAGAAAAGCTAAACTGATTTTCATAAAAGGTGACTATGAATTCTTTCTGACATTTCAAGTTTAACTCCTCTTGAAGTTACATAAAAGATTGGGAAAAACGCTTCGTCTCCTGAAACAAAAAGCATGACGCATTCTTGACACTGTTTATAGAACATGCTCATTGAAGAGTAGTAGGAAAAGTGAATTACGTTTCTTTGAAAAAGAAAAATAAATTCTTTCACTGAGTGCTTGTCCGAATGTGTGTGCACACAGTGCTCATACTTCTCCATGGCCAGGCACAGAGTTCATGAACAACATGGAGGACATCCCACACAAAAAATGTCACAGGTTAATAAAGGCAAGGAACATTCATGCACAGGGAATTAAACTGCATTGCCATAATTTGAATGGCGTAAGGTATGTATGGTTCACTTCTAAAAAGTGATGCTTTTTCACTAAAAAATGGTGTGGTCACATATAACTCAAGTAATGTAATAATAATTATGTCAATAATGAGTTGTCACATCTCTCATCCAACCACGAGCATGTTAAAATGAATAAAAAAGCCCCTGTGAGAGTACAAGGCAGAATGATTTTTCAAATAAGGTCAGAAAACGTTAAGAAAAATATTTATAAAAAGGAGCAATAGATGCTGCTACATTTTATTCTGTACAAGTTAATATATCTCAAAATGCACCTGTTTACTTACTTTTGATAGCTAATTCATCTTTGAGAATATTTGTATACTCTTCAGGGAAAAGCTGAGGTGGAAGGCCACCAACAAATAAATTTACTCGTACAATGGATTTACTGTTTTCCACAATGTAAAATCTTGTTTGATTCATCTGACGTACTGAAGTCTACCAAAATAAAGAAAAGTAAATGACACTGACATTTTGCAAAAAGATACTGTGAAATAAAATAGTTCTGAACTTAGCAATCAAGTCCTCTATGCCTAGAGAACATCATGAACAGAAACAAACCACAGTCCAAGCACTTAGCTTCTCTACAGATGAACCAGCTGGGGGGTAAGTGATTACTCACTCTTTCTGTAAGAAAGAGGATTCCCTACTAGCTATAGAAAAAGATCATGTTTCTTTTTCAGATTTACCTTTCTGATGTCCTTGAGTCTGTTAAGGATCAGTTCATGATTGTCCAACACCATGCGCTGAACTAGAGACAGCAAGAACATTAATCATGTTTAAAAGCACTGTAAGGTATTACCAGACTCAATTAAACAAAAACAATACAAAAATTTTAGGGAAAATTCACAACTCTGTGTACAACTAACATTAAGATAAAGGACAACGCAGATCTGAACTACTCATTATTCAACAGAAGGTGCTTTGAAAGTCTGGTTCTGTTCCCAGTTCTTAAACACCACCCTACTTTAAAAAAAGTCAGAAACAGTTTGAAGACACTCAAAAGAGAAGCAGTACTTTGGTAACAAGCTACTTGTTTGACATAAGACTTTAAAACTACATTCCCTGACAACTACAGTAATAACCAATTTTTGTGTTTTATTAAAATATTAAAACAATTGTAAAAACTTCCAACTAAAGCGAGGTTGTAAATGATGCTTTAAAACAGATCACCAGAAACCAACCAAGATAAGACATTCACAAGGCTACAATAGCCTTATAAAACAACTTGCTGATAATGCTCACAAAGAAAGCAAAGCATCAGGCCAGTATTTGAACTACAAAGATATTTACTTGGGTGTGGTCAGGGCATCATCAGATTACTTCAGTGGCTTTATTTATCTCTCCGTGCAGCCTTACAAATAATAAAGCACAAAGCCACGTGAACTTGCAGACATCAGCTCAGCTCCTGCAGGATCACAAACCTCTTGAACAATGCTAGGACTGCATATTTCTGTATCTTATAACGCACACACATACTCCTTGGACTATCTCAGGACTCAAATTTGCTATTGTTTGGGGGCAGTGTCATGGAGAAAGAGGAGAGAAGGAAGGGAGTCAATTGAACTTCACAATTCATCTTTACCAAATAAGTGCAGTTAAGAAAATTACATCAGTTAAAGGCAGCTCCCCAAAACAGGGCTCTTTGCCAAAGTGTCAATACCCACCAGAAACCACTAATAAACCTTTATATGATGATGAAGAAAGAAAAAGGAACCCTATTTCCACGGGACACACAAGATCGAAAAGAACCAACATCACTTCTGATTAAGTATTTCAACATGATGGTGAAGTTTCATTTGTGAAGGCCTTTATTGTAAAAAATTAAATGTCACTGTGTTAAGAGGGAAAAAAAAAAAAGCCAGAAAATCAGTTACAGATGTGGCTTTGGCCAATGCTCCCTCACTTACCTTGCTTACTGCCCATAAGCACCTCCACCAATTTGAAATTCTGGAGGCACTCCGTCTGCCAAAAGATGCAACGTGAAAATGTAGTTTCTGAATGAACTGGTGTATTTCTGAACAAAGTATAATTTTGCCAGATGTTTACATTAATGTTATGTTATACACTGCACACACAGTGCATGGAAAATTAAACATTTTTAAATCAACCATGATGTTCTTCTCCTAACTCACCCCTCCTGAACCAGGAATATCTTCATTTTACACACTCAGCCACACACACACAACGTCAGGCTCCCGTGCCCTTATGTCGGCATCCTCACAGCCCCATGGTGAAGGGGCACCTGTAAAGCACAGTGAAGTCTACCCCACTTCAGTGACCAGCAGCGCAACTAGGATATTTCCACAGTGTCCTTCCAGAGAAAGAATGCAGGACTGGGAGCGAACCTGCTCTTTGAGAAGATTGCCCAGCAACTGGGCTGGGCAAAAGCAGGCTGACCAGTCGCCATCTCCTCGGGCACTCCACCAGCACTGACGGAGCAAAATCCTCTTCACATATGCCACAGTCTCTTCTCCAAATTATACTGCCAGGGACCATCTGAGTCCCTCGCAGCCAGACAAGAAAAGCTGGCACAGCCAAGAGCTGAACCATTTACTAGGGTTATGGCAACCCTGGAAACGTGACGCTCAGAATTGAAGAAGTCTCTTAATTTTCAGCCTTGAGACTCAGAGGACAAATGATCTTGCTTTACATGTCATGAACAGCAGTGTTAAAAGCCTCAACTGCCTACATTTGTTTTGCCTGAAATTTGATGACAGCAACTTGGAGACGACCTTCAGCACAGGCAAATTCTGGATATTAAAAAGAGATTTCCAGTATGTGCATCTTCATATAGAAAAAGGAGAAAACCCTTTAAAAACCTGTCAGTATCAGAGAAATTGCAATCCAGCCAAGGAATTAAGTCTCCTACAAGATAAAACTAGCTTCCCAAATACAGAGATGTGAAGATCTTTCCCAAACAGGGTACCCAACTATCCTGTTTGACAGCTGCTTTTTTCAGATGAGACAAGACTTCAGACAAGATTTTCCAAGTTTTGTTAAAAAGTCCACAGCACTCGAGGAAAAGGACTGAAATCAAATCCTAAAACCATCCTATGGTGCAAAATGAGCTGCATGCACTACATAGCTGAGTACACCTAGACAGAGATCTACAATTATCACCTACTGCAGATAGCTAGCCACATGCGTGTTCCTATGTACTCTGTAAATGACAAAAGGTGGTGGTCACCCTCCGAGCATGGTTGTTCTCTGAAGCAGCAGAAGCGTGCTGATCTGTGTGTGCCCACAAGCCCCAACTGCTGAATGAAAAGTGCATGCTACAGCTTCATGCCTCCACATCTGTGTGTCTGATTGAGACTGCCAGTGCTTTGGCCCACTTGCAAATTCTACTAACATGCTTCCTAAAAGTCATGCTACCATGGCACCAACTGTAAGGAAGACAGGCAGACGAAAAAATACTATCTTCCAAGGAAAACGTGTGCATCTACAAGATTACAAGATGTATCTAACTATTTCCAACGAGGTGGGAAGCAATTCAGATGGTAAAGAACATGGGTGCCATTCATCCTTGGGTCCTCCCTCGTAGTCCTTGAGGACTACAGAGATGCTGTTTGCCACTGTAGGGAGAAAATTTGTATAGCCAATACTTGATTAGAGTTCAAGCTGACTGGCACTGTGAAGGACAATAAAAAGGGCTTTTAAAAATACATTAATAGCAAAAGAAGAATCAGAGATAACATTGGTCCGTTGCTTGACACGGTCAGTCACCTCACAAATAGGTATGTAGACAAAGCAGAGGCATTTAAGGCCTTCTTCGCCTCTGTATTCAATACTGATGATGGCCTGTGGGATCCCCAGAGTTCTGTGTTCGAAGACCATGACTGAGGGGATGATAAACTCCTAGCTGACCCTGAACTTGAGACTGGCTGCTCCAGCTGGATGTGCACACATCTACGAGGCCAGATGGGATTCATCCCAGGGTACTGAAAGAGCTGGCCGATGTCATTGCAGGACCTCTCCAATATTTTTCAACCATCTTGGGAGTTTGGAGAGGTCCCAGTCGACTGGAAGCTGGCAAATGTCCCAATTTTCAAGAAGGGTAAGACGGAAGACCTTGGTAATTACAGGCCTGTCAGTCTCACTTCAGTGCCTAATAAAATTACGGAGAAGGTTATTCTGGGAGTTACTGAAAAACACCTGAGAGACAATGCAGTCTCTCATAACCAGCATGGGTTCACGAGAGGGAAGTCCTGCTTAACCACCTTAACTTCTTTTTATGACAAGGTCACCCATCTAAATTGACTAAGGGAAGCCAGTGGATGTGGTGCTTTTGGATCTTAGCAAAGCTTTTGATACTGTTTCTCACAGTATCCTTCTGGATAAACTGTCCAGCACACAGCTAGACAATTCCACAATACACTGGGTGAGCAATTGGCCGATGGATCGAGCTCAAAGAGTTACAGGAAATGAGGTTACATCAGGCTGGTGGCCAGTCATCAGTGCAGTTCCCCAGGGCTCTATTTTAGGGCCAGTGCTCTTCAATATTTTTATAAATGATCGAGACGCAGGAATCGAATGCACATTAAGGAAGTTTGCTGATGATACTAAACTAGGAGGAGCTGTGGACTCTCTTGAGGGTAAGGAGGCCCTACAGAGAGATCTGGATAGACTAGAGAGCTGGGCTATCACCAGCCATATGAAATTTAACAAGAGCAAATGCCAGATTCTCTGCCTGGGCTGGACCAATCCTGGTTATACATACAAATCGGGGGACAATAGGCTGGAGAGCAACCCCGCAGAAAGAGATCTGGGGGTTTGGGTTGATGGCAAGTTGAACATGAGTCAACAGTGTGCCTCGCAGGCAAAAGGGCCAAGGGTGCCCTGGGGTGCATGAAGCACAGCACAGGCAGCTGACCGAGGGAGGGGATTGTCTTGCTCTACTCTGCACGGGTGCAGCCTCACCTCAAGTCCTGTGTGCCGTTTTGGGCACCTCAGTAAAAGAAGGACATCAAACTATTGGAGTGCATTCAGAAGAGGACAACCAAGATGGTGAAAAGCCTCGAGGGCAAGACTTATGAGGAGTGGCTGAGGTCACTTGGTTTGTTCAGCTTTGAGCAGAGAAAGGCTAAGGGGAGACCTCATTGCAGTCTACAACTTCCTTAAGGGGAGCAGTGGAGAGGAGGTGCTGATCTCCTCTCTCTGGTGACCAGCAATAAGACATGAGGAGATGGAATGAACCTGTATCAGGTGAACTTCAGACTGGACATTAGGAAAAGGTTTTTCTCTGAAAGGGTGGTCAGTCACTGGAACAGGCTCCCCAGGGAAGTGGTCATGGCACCAAGCCTGTCAGAGTTCAAGGAGTGTCTGGACAACGCTCTTAGTCATAGGGTTTAGTTTTAGGAAGTCCTGCAAGGAGCGTGGAGTTGGACTTGATAATCCTTATGGGTCCGTTCCATCTTGAGATATTCTACGAGTCTATGATTTCCCTTGCAGAGCAGTGAAAACAAGTAGGAGACAAGCATGATCATCCTAACAGTCACTGCCAACTTCCCAACAAGGTAAGATTAGCAGTGTAGTTACATACAAGTGTATTTTAAATATCTCAAGATATAACCAACCAGAAAAAATATACTGCATGCCAAGAATCATTGTGTTCATACAAGTAAATCTGCTTGATCCAGAAAGATGGTAATTTCCAGTACAGAGCAATCAGGTCTACCATCAAGACTCTAGAAAGTTCTGAGCATCATACCAGTCACAAGATATCACCTACCAAACATTAACAGCATTCACATTAATCACAAATAGACTGATTACAATTTTTCTAAGGAGAAAAACATACGCACTCCACTTCAGGGTGACTCAGGTGGTATACGGACATGCTTATGATCTTTCGTTTACCTGCCTTCCAAGTAATGGAAGCACTTCTTTGATCACACTCTGCGTAGTGCTATCCTTATTTACTCGTAGAGAAACATATGCCATTCCCACCCTAAAGAGAAAAGAAATACTTATTTTAGGACAATTATTTGACCTATTCTGTGTGTACCTTTTTTACCTAAGTGGCAAATTTTCCATGGGGGTAGGCAGAAATTTGTATTAGTTGAAGAAAGTTGTTCAGTGAGGCTGATGGCAGATGCAGTGTTAGCCCCAGAGACAAGCAAAGACTTTTATCTCAAGGAACTGGTCATTATAATTGTAGCACTGCAAATTAGTTTCTCCCTATACACAGAATTACCTGCAAGTCTTTCATATTTCACAATACAGTTACATTAGTAATATGAACAAATGTTTAAATTCTACCCCACTGCTCTTAAGAAATGAATAGGTCACCAGGCAGTCCTGTTTCCACTGCCAAATATGCTTAAAATTTATATTGTCCCAGTGGTAACTGGAACAAGTTTTTTTTCTTTATTTTTTCGTCCTATTCTTACATCAGAAGTTATGCTGAATTCTTCCTATTTAGTATTTCTTCAAAAAAACCATGAAGCTTTCAAGTGACATGTATGTCATCATTTGTTTACAGATGCAGTTAATGTAAAGTTGCATCTTCCTGGCCAAACATACAGTAATAGAACTGCACGAGTTATGCAATATGTTCCATGCGTGTGAAGAAACACACGAGCCCATTTCCAGGCATGGAAATGAGTATATGTATATATATGTGTGTATATATATATGTATGTGTGCCATAATAATGTATATTCATAAAAATAAACAGAAGAATCCTGAAATACAGAAGAAACTACATTCTCTGTTATACTTATGTGACTTCAATAACTGAAACACACCAGGCTAGACTACAGAGGACAAATGTAGCCAAGCAGGATAACCTTGTGATAAAAGAGGAAAACACTCACTTCAGCCAGGCAGGGTAAATTCTGATCACTTCCTCATCCTTTGGTTTGGCTCTGATGATCCAAGCTTCAGGAACAGATTCTCGGAATACCGAGCCCAAGTTGCTGTCCTCTCCAGCATCGTTCCTGTTGATAACATCATCAGACAGCAGCGCCTGCTGCGTAAAGGTCTGAAGCTCATACTCCTGCTGCTCATCATTTATGTAGTATGCCCTCAAAGCAGCCTCCTACAACACAGCAAGACAAATTAACACTTTCTTGAAAGGACACCATTAATACTTGTATAGCCATAGACATTTACAAATACCTTAATTTTTTTAAGTGCAGAACAGTGGATAAAAATCAGTGGCAAAAAACAAAACAAGAGCGAAGTTTTGAAAACAAATTTTAGTGGAAGATACAAAAAGAAAACTTGAGATACCAATGGATTTGAACACAGACCACAGTATTTTTGTCAAGTGATAGTAATTTTAATATCATAGATCAAATGTAAAAATTCAGCACCAATAAAGCTACACTCACTGCATGCAAAATTTAGTCCACAAGGAAAACGGTAAATTACACTTGAATTGTGCCCAACTCTGCATATTCAATCTTCTTGCACTAAGGGGATGCTGAAAATTAGTGAGTTTCTCAGCCACAAGGCTGCCCTGAACCCACACACTTGTGAAGAGGAAAAATAAGGGCTGCCCTTGGAAGATGCAAGCAGTCACAGGAATTTTACATCCATTATTGGCCTATAACTGCAGCACCTCTGCTAACACAGACGCCGTAGTGAACACAGCCCAGTAAGCCACTTAAGAGAACTGACGTTCATCTCCCCTGGTATTATAAGCAGCAGACTAATAAAATGTGCTTGAAAGACAAGTAGCATTCCTAAACAAAAGTGTTTTCAGCACTGTATGCAATTTTCCTTGAAGATCTTTGGCACACAGAACACTACAAATAATCTTCAAAACTCATGTTGATTTTGAGCACAACATCAAGGTAAAAATCTTAATGTCCTGTACGTTTAAATTGTCAAACTTCTGATGTAATAAACTGTCCAGACTCCTGGGCCAAGTCCTTTATGACTTTGAGTCCTCGCCATGCTCAATTCTTCTGTGCACCACCCCATACCCGCTCTGGGCTTCTGCACAGCATAGGGTCTCTGTCCAGCCCAGTAAATTAAGATCTGCACAGAACATTTGATTTAGTACTGAGTCATGTTTCCACCCCAGATGGAGTGCTGGAAAAGCTAGGGAGCAGCCACTATGTGATTGATAATTTATTACTTTCACAGCCAAGGAGTGGAGGTAACTATGGCATGCTTCAGTCTTCAAAGCTCATCCACTGAAGTGCAATAGTGGTGGCTGTCCAGGATAAACATCAAACCACTAAATACTACAGAAAAGGAGCAAGATCTAAGGAGCTGATTATTCAGTATTGTTCATATGAGTAAAATCAGACTTCAGCGTCACACAGGAAGGACAGTGACTGCTTAACATGTGATATGTTGTGGTCCCTGTTATACTATAGATACGTAGGCCACCACTTCTTCAGATGTTCTACAGTAAGAGCGCTAAATGAAAAAGTCAAATTATATCACAATATTATAGCTCATTTACAGATTTTTTTGTTGTTGAGTTACATTTGTAAAACTGTTAGCTTTTGACTATTGTAATATACAATCATATGCCCCTTTATCACACTGGAATATTGACCTTCACTGGGTATCTTACCACAACTTCTTCATTTTTTGCAATCCTTGGAACTGAAATCAGTCGAAATTGATTGCGTTTCACTGCATCATTCCCATCAAATATCTTTAACGTTTGTTTACCTGAATGAAAACAATTATTGTATTTCAGTGATAAACCCCTCAAAACCAAAAAAATTTCAATAACATCCTCAAAAAAGCTTTGAGGATGACCCTTTTCGTTTTTGTTTTATTACTCTTGATTCAAAACATAGCTACATTTGCAGAGCGAAGGAAGAGGAGTATTTCAAGTAATCATAGTTTTATCCTGGCTTTTGATATAACTGTTTATATATAACAATACTGCTTACGTTATCACTCCTTCAACCTCACCATTCAAGACTGCATTTTTCACTGGTGAGTTCAACAACATGAAAACCAAGACAGAGTGCTATCGCCTTCAGAACAGCACCCAAAGCACTGCCAGTTCTGAGAGCATCCTTCCAAAGAAAGTCCTTAAAAGATCTGGTTAACTGTACAGGCAACAAGAGAAAGTACAGGAACACCAGAAAGACTAGGAGAAAGAAGGTTCAGCAAATGAAGAAGTACAACCCTTTGCTGTGTAGCGTTTCACCGAAACCTTACCAAATCCATGCTCAAACCACGGAGCACAGGTTGTTGCCCAGCCACCTCTGAAAGGGTGAAGAGTTAAGGATTTCAGGCTCTCCTTTTGGAAAGAGGAGTTAAGACTCAGTCTGGTACAGCCCAGCACATGACAAAGTTTCTCTCTTCTTTCAGCGGCTACTTTAAAAGCAAGGTTGCAGGAGGCACACATGCATGAAGAAGGAGCTCCTGACTTAACTCTGCCATTGGAAGCGTGCACACAAGAGGCAGAAGCAGAGTTGGATGAGGTGGAGGGAATATAGGGAGAGCGTCCAACCATGCAGGGATGGGCTTAGGAGAGCTAAAGCCCATATGGAGTTGAGTCTGGCAAGGGACACGAAGGGCAACCAGAACGGTTTCTGCAGGTACATCATCAGCAAAAGGATGACTAGGGAACAGTGGGTCTGCTGAGGAACGGCATTGGGGTCCGGGTCTGAGAGGTCATGGAGAAGGCTGAGGCACCGATTGCCGCCTTTGCCTTGGTCTTTACTGTTAAAGGGATGGATAAGGGGAGAGCAGTGGATGTAGTTTATCTGAATTTTGGTAAGGCTTTTGACTGTCTTTCCCGTAACAGTGCCACAAAACCCACCGGGAGGCTAGTCACCAGGGGTTGATGCTGGGCAAATGCTGTCTAACGTGTTCCTGAATGCCATAGATGATGGGACAGAGATCATCCTCTACAGCTAGTCTGCCGGTGACAGGAGGGACGGGTAGAGCGGAGA